CTCACCAATCAATTCACTCGAAAGCCCAGATTTCTATCACTCATTGTTTTTTTTAAGGCAAGTTTTAATAATTCCTAAGTTAGGGTATGTGGCCCCACTAATTGTCACTTTTTGTGAATGCTCATCAGAAACAACATTGAACAATACTACAGTAAATATTTCTAAAATTGCAGACTGCCTTTGAATAAAAGCTCTGATTTTAAATAGGTATTGTTCGTGGCTCTAAAATGCTAATATTCTTTCTGTTTTAATTTGTTGTTTGAGGAATTTTATGTTGTTTTTTAAATCTGATTATTTTAGCTACTGAAAACAGCTTTCATAGTGTTAAACCAGCTTGAGAAAATGAAGTTCTGAAAAGAAGCATGGAAAGCTTTTACATAAATGATGTAACTTTATTTTAAATAGTCACCTCGTGGTGAGATGGGTGGCAAACAAATGTAACGAACATATAAACAAATATTTTACATCAATAAATACTAGTCTGTTACTTAGGTTATGCTCTCAGTACACGGTTCATGTTGTGATTCCCTCATAATGGCAGTAAAGGTAAGGATACTAGGATTTAATGTCCTAATAGTTCAGCATCATCTGGGGTAGATAAAGAAAATAGAGATGCTTAGATGGCTATTTAGCAATACTCCCAGCATATCTGCAACACGTGCATTCATTGTAGAGCAGGGGACTCCAGCCCCTGGGTCACAGCCTACTACTGGGACGTGGCCTATTCAGAACATGCTTGACTTGCACGCATACATGTGTGCACACCAGTCATCACTCGCATGGCCTGGTTTCCCTCCCCCCTCCCCCACAGAGCCATCAAGCCACAAAATTTGGGGACCACTGTTGTGGAGGGAGCTATGTAGGAGAGAGTTTGTTTGTTTGTTTGTTTATCAAATTTCTTTTTTTTCAGTTTCAAGTGTTTTATTAATTTTACAATATTACATTTAGATATTTGAAAAGTAGCGTGGTGGCTGAGCACAGTAATTCCGTTACATTTGAATATCATCAGTACAAATCTCAAATTATTACAACAAACTAATGCCCTCTCTTTCCCCTATGATATCTACTGTCACGTTCAAACCAATACAGTTCTTATTCTATTAATCAAACAAAAAAAATACCTTTCTAATATTCATCAATAATCTTCAGTCTATATATATATCTTAATTAATTTGATGTTCCACCTTTTAGACAATAACCTAGGAAGTTTTTCTTAACTTTAATTTGCCATTGATATTTAAGTTTAACGTTTAATCTTTATCATTTCCAGGTTTTAAATGATCCCAATTTCTAAGTCTCCTATCTCACATTTGGACCTAATAATTTTTTTTTCTTTTCTTCCTTTCACTTCCTTCCTTTCTTCCTTTCCAGAAAGAGAAAAAAAATTGAAAATAAACCAACATTTATACCACAAACTTATATACAAATTTAATTATTAGTACTTATACTTTTAAGTTTTATTAACCTTTGTCTCAACTCATAACAATATCTTAAATTCAAATCTTAATTATTTGTAGACGTTCAGATTACATTTAATATTTAATTTTTCCAAATTTTAATTAAACACAATTCCTTTATCCCAATTGCTCATACATTCTAATATTTAAAATACCCACCTTACATATAACTTCTACCCTCTATCTTACCCATCTAATGACAATATAATATTCTTATTTCAACATATTTCTAGATTTTATATGACCAAAATTTTCTTTATCTCAAATCGTTACAATGTCTTGTATTCAGAATACATATTCTATCTATTTAGATATATTCTATTTTAGATCTCATATATAGATCAGAACCCCAATCTTTTTCAATCTTATTCTAGCTTTTTTCCTCTGCCAGGTCATTTTTCGTATTTTTGCCTTTAAATCATCAAAAAAAATCTCCTTGTATTGTTGTGGCTATTGTTTGATGTTGATAAGAACGTCCAGTTGATGTTTTCTTAAGAGGACTTGATTTAGCCGGTAGTGTCTTTATTTTTCCAGTTCGATGCAGTTGTCCCGAAGTATTTATCTTCTCTTTCATCTGTTTTTCTTGTTTATCTTCAAATTCCTTCTGGTTTATAAGAAATGCCCTTTCCTTGTTCTCTATTATCAATTCCTTTTTTGTGTTTTCTATTGTCTGTATTTGTTGAGTATCTAAGTCTTCTGTCATAACATTTGGTTGTTTCACTTTCTCTATAGAATTCTGTATAGATAATTCTTTGATTGAAGTCATAGTCTGAGTTTGTATATCCAGAGCTTACATAAGTAGAGTTTGTATCATCACTTTTAACATACAAAGAATTTGTTCCTGTACTTCCTTTGTAGAAGAAATCCTTTCCTGTTCTCCTTCCATTGTAATATATTAAACTCAAGAGAAAGAAACTGACAGTCAGAAAGTCCACCAAATAAGGAGCTGACCTGAATTTTGCAGATGGTGTTTCAAGGTTATTTTTTTATCTTGTCTATTTTCAAAGCTGTCAACAAGTCTCTTAGAGAATAGCAGGTTACGTCTTAGAGTTAGTTGGATCTTTTTAGGGTTTTTTTTCACTCTATTTTAAGGGGAAAAAAACCCAAATCTTCAATAGTAATTAGAATAAAAGTCAAGGAAGAAATATATATAGAGAGAGCAGAAAGTTGCAAATCTTATAATCCACCAATTTTAGGAAATAGGATTCCAATTAAGATCTCAGTATTTTTCCAATGTTTTAAACTCCCAAGTGGTTGATAGCTGCTGTTTCTGGAGGGAGGGCTAGAATCCCCCTTCCCTCACCACAGGGGGGAAAGTACTTTAGCAGCTTATGCAGGTAATTAAGTAATTAGGATGTAAGAGAGGTAAACCTCACCCAGTCCTGTCCATGCTGCTTTTGTTTATCAAATTTCTATGAACACCTATTTCACAGGAAGTGACTATGGGCAATATTACAAAAATCAAGTCAAACAATAAATATATCAAAACAATTGTTATAAAGGTATAAAACAATTGTTACTAGAAAATTATATATATATATATATATATATATATATATATATATATATATATATATATATATATATATATATATATACCATAAAGCACCGAGAGAGTGAAGTATCAGCCACAATAGTGAAGTCATTTTAGGTTGTTTCTGGTTCTGGAACAATCCCCATGCCTCATGCCTGGTGATGTAATCAGATCTTGAGGGATTTTTGAAACATTAACAGGGATGGAGCTAACCTGACTTGGGGAGAGGGAGAGAATAAAGAGGCACCATGGAAGAGAAGGCCTGATCTTTGGAACTATGAAATGTAAGTATATCTTACATTTATATATACACATTCAAAATCTAAGGGACTGGTTTGGACAAAACTCAGCAGCACTTTTTCGTGCGGCTGCTGACAAAAACAGGATCACCAATATGATCGCCAACATCTGATAACGGATATGGCACAAGAAGAAGATTTATCTCAGGGGCAAAGCATCATGTTTATATAAGTAGGGTTGTCAGTGGAACTAGGAAAGATTGTTCTCCCAATTTGTGTAGGCCATGCTGAGTATTTAGGTCTGACTTGTTATGACGCAACTTCCTACTGCTATTTTTATCTATTCTTTCCATTATTTCACTTTACGTTTACAGTTTACTGTATTTTTAGTTGTGTCCCTGTTTTTGTGAGAGGGTGTGTTGAAATGTCTTCAGATATAAAAACAGGATTGGTTCGGATCTTCATTGTTCAGGACTGCTTTGTACATTTGAGCAGTGATCTGCAGCCAGAACTATAATTGACGCCACAATTAAATGAGTCCATTCTCGGGTGGCCTCTTTGAGCTGTACACTGTAGTGGGAACAGAACCCATTATGGAGCACAGCTGCAGTCTTACAAACAAACCCCAAAGGGAGGGGAGTGTGGGAGTTCTCTTTCTTTACTCCAGTGGGGAGTGAAACTGGACAAACTTTCTACTGTATCAAGATCAAAGCTTGAAGGTCCAAGAGAATTGGGCTGCAACTGCCAGAACTTTAGAAACAATTGTTCGCTTGGCACAGCACATTTCTGCTGTTAATGTCACTGTTTATAATTAATCTCCCAGACTTTGAAACCAAGTCATTCTTTTGGTATTCAGCTGAATTATGCTGCTGCTTTCGGCTTCCCTCAAACATATGCAGTTAAGTTTACTGTAGACTAAGCTCAGGTTTCTGAGAGATACATGGCAATTTACAGAAAGGCTTGTGGTAAAATTAGCTTGGCCTGAAGGTAAATGCAAGCAAGAGAAGCAGGAGGTTGTAGAGAGTTTCAACAGAGGTGAAAAAGAATTAAAGAAGCTAAGCAAAAACATAAAGAACATAAATAAAATTGTGCTATTCAGAGAATGATGGGCAGTAACTGCTAATAATATTTCCATTTTACAGCAGTGATTTTAGAAGTTATAAACATAATAATAAAGCATCCTTTTTGGCTAGATTGCTAAACTTATTGGAAATTAGTGTGACTGAACACCAGAGAAATAGGGTTCCTGTTTCTTTAATACGGTAAGTATGGAGAGGTGACAAAAAGCCGTCTGTTAAGATTATTTCTTTTAACAATGTTATTAACATTAAAGGGATCTGTTAGTTTCCTTTACTGGAAAACAGAGAAAATCAATTGCTCTTGAATTATTTTCCATTGTACTCATTAACTCATTTTATTACACTATTTATAACAGAAAATTGGGAAGAAAGGTATGGGTAGGTGAGAAAAGTAAATAAAAGGCCCAATTCTATTGTACAATCATCTAAAACGGGTGGAGAATAATGGCCTCTTTATGGCTTGTAGACTTCAAGTCCCAGAATTCCTGAGCAAGGGCACTCCCACTCCTTGACCTACTAATTGTTAATCCTATTTACAATAATTAGTGTGTGGGGGGGGGACATTGGCTTACTCCTTGGACTTATGCCAATAAGCTAATTAAAGTCCAGGCTGGAAGAAAGAATCAAGAAGCTTGATTATTGCCCATAAAACTCCAAGAAAGCGAAACAGAAATTTTTTTTATTACTTTGCTTTTTCAAAAGATATGGTTTCATCCTCCATTAGTTTTGCTTTGGTCTTTTGTTCCCAGCTGTATCTTTTTTAAGATCTCATGGAAAAGCATCCCCTCTCTCTTTTACTGTATATGTCTATCATTGTAGATACTAACTTTACCTTTTTTCACCATCACAAATTCAAGGTCTCATCCTTTTCACTCTCCAGTTTCTTTTCTTTAAAAAGGTTTTGCCTTTTTCTGTTACTAGCATTTGGGACAGAGTTGAAGGCTGCAATTTTTCATTTTTTTTTGATGCCTCTAATTACATTCTCACTATGTTTTTCATCCTAGTTAATGATGGTATTTTCTTTCCCTAGTGAATCAACAGTATATTTTCCCTATTCCTTGAGAAACATATAAAATATTTTTTTTTCACTTGAAGGGAGTTTCCAGATTTGTACAGTCTGGATTGCAGAGTTCAAGCAGTAGCCAGAAGGTCTTCCAAGTCCCCACAAAATATTCCCCTCCTGAAAGAAAGAAAAAATTGGCATCAAATTTTGTCCCAAGATCTAGCCAGAAACAGACAGTCCCATTCAGAGTAAAGTATAATAGCTGAATAGAGATGAGAAAACAAAGTTGGCCCAGTAGTAGAGAAATATCAGTCTGACAAATAAAAAAGAGTTTATGTGTGATCATTAAAGCAATAAACTCTGATAAGTATTGGACAGCAGAATCAGAAAACACAGTTTAGATTTAATATTTTTGCAGCCAACACATCTGGAACTAGTTCTCAACATCTGTAAGGGATAGTCCTAGGAAGTAGAAGGTTTTAACTCATACTTGGCAAATGTGTCCCATTGGAGTTTGTCTATTCCTTTTCTGTCAATGGGCACTGTTAGAATTGCTGTACTATTTAGAACAGGGGTCCCCAACCCCCGGTCTGTGGATCAGCACCGGGCATTGGCTTGACAGAAACTGGGCCAAACAGACAAGCGAAGCCCTATCTGTGAGATACAGGCAGCACACAAAACCACATTCCCTCTGGTCCACGGAAAAACCTCTCTTCACGGAATCTGTCCCTGGTGCCTCTGCTTTAGAGAGTATGTGTTTTGGTTCCAGTTGAACTTCTAAGTGGGACAATGGGTCTATCACTTTTAAAGAACTTGTATGTAAATGCATCAAGATTAAATACCCGTGTGGTTCATATACAGTTAGTTCGGTTGCTGATAAGACCCCATTTGAAAGATTAGTGGGTGATTGAGTTTTCCTAGGATATGTTGGGTTTTTTTGTTGACTTATTAAAATATTTTTATTAGGATATGTTTGATGGCAATCTACAAATATTAAAATAATAGTTAACATGGTAAGGATGCCAGATTAAATCAAGCTGATGTCTGAAATGATAGAAAATTGCAAAAAATGAATACATTTAAAATCTAGATTTCAACCTTACAGTTATATAGTAAAATGTACTGTTTATTGTGGGGTAACTATCAAACAAACATAGGGCTGATCTGCACATCCAGTTTCCCCGCATAAGTGTGGGCCGTGTGGGCCTTTCCCGTTTCTCATCCAAAACTGTCATCTACTTGCTCCTGGACCCCCCCCCCCCCCAAAGGCAGCCTCTCCCTCTCCCTCTGCTATGCCTAAAAACAGTATTTTCTGAGTCATGCTGGAAGAAGCAGTCTAAAAAATTCCATAGTTTTATTTAAAAAATAAGATGGATGGTGATGTTTAATTCTGTAGTATACCAACTAACTTTTAAAATGTTTTTTAAAAAGAACTTACCAAGGCTTTTTGACATGACACAAAATAAAATATACTGTGATCATTAGGATTACTGGTTGAAATGTCAAGCATCTTAACTATTTTTTATACTTTTTGGTCATGTGTAGTCATCAAATTATTTTGGAATGATGTGTTACATAACAATCCAAAAATAATGGGCTACCAGTTACCACTGAATTGTAATTTTCTCTATGTGCTGTTTAAAAGCAATTCTCTAACCTGTGTATTTATGATTTGTGTTAATGCTACAATAGCTAAAGAAATAATAACCAGAAATATGGACTTCTTAGACACTTCTGATGTCTGTTGTCTGGCAGTCATAAGAAAAGAAGAATGAAACAAATGCTGTTATAATAGTCATAACAATCCTAGACTCCACGTTGGTGAGAAGCTGATCTACTAGGCATGCTTTAATCTGTAGGACAATTTTAATTTAGGTAGACATTATATAAAATACCGTGGCTATGGAGAAGCTATTGGGGATGGTAATCATGTTTAGCTACATTACAGCCCTAAAATAAGATGCAATTTCACATGCAAACAACATCAGCCTGAAAAATTTGAACCTTCTAGCAATGAGGAAAGATATTGTTATCTACATTATCAAAATCTGATCACCTACAAAAGATTGAAATACAACATGCTAGCTTGGATCAGCTATAAAAGCACCAATAGCTGCTTATTGACAATTAATTGTTCCACTATTTAATTGTTCTGTCAGGAAATTTCTCCTTAGTTCTAGGTTGGTTCTCTCCTTGATTAGTTTCCATCTATTGCTTCTTGTCCTGCCTTCACGTGCTTTGGAAAATATGTGCTATTCTCCTATGCTTATTCATAGTGAGAATATGGGGAACAAAGAAATTTGGCTGAATTAAGGACAGCTTCTCAGTTATCAGGACAGATCAAAATTAAGGGCAACCCTGTTTGTGTTTGTTCCCTTTTGCTTATAAATTAAAATCATGGTGTCAGAAAAAGGATGAGGATGGAGAAGATTCTTTAGAATTTAATATGGAGTAGAAGAGGGTCAAACAGGAGAGCAAATGATGATGTCACAATGATGTGATTAAAACACTGCCCCCTTTGCATATGTGATGTAACATTGCATGCACAAGGAAGCAGGTGATTGGATCCTGGAGATATTACTAACTACATCATAGGAAATAATTTGGACTTGCTGGTTAAGAAAATAATATCATCTGAAGTAGAAACTGAATGTGTGTGTGAAATGGCTTTTACCAAGGAGATGCAGAGACTTTTAGTTCCTCATAAGCTAATTATCAGACATCCTTAAGGAATATCCAGACTCACAGTTAATTTGCATGTTAAACTGGGTAACTGAACAGCATATTTTAGACTATTTTATTACCCTTGGTACTATTCAAGGCTCTTACATTTATTTAAACAATTTGTATGTTTTATGACTAGTTCAGAAATTGAGCAATGCATTATTCTATAAACTGTTAAGATTTGTGTAGCTATTGTCATTGGAAAGAAATTTACTGGAAACCCCCAAAGCCAATGATTCAGCAATAGCTCTTTTCTGGAACTGAGATAGTCCTGCCTCTGTCATTGTTGTAACTAAAACACAAGTATAACACAATAGACTGTCCATAGGAAGAAATTTCTTTTATGAAGTAAGCAGTAGAACATATTAAACGAATGACAATGCAATAAATATCCTTTCTCATAGAATATAAACTATTTGGGAAATAGTTTCTATCTAATCTGTTTTTCAAAGATCATCTTCTATGAATTTAAATTTTCAAAAAATCTTGCTTTGTTCATTTGTACAGATATTTATTTCTGCAGCAAGCCATTCTGTTACATGAGGTTTTACCAGCATTTTAATGTTAGAATATTGAGACAATTCAGACTTGGGATGACCTTCTTCTCTATTGTAACATAAGAACTGGCATGTGATCGAAGCTATAAAGGACCAATGCTAATTCCTAAACAGATTATCTCAGACGTTGTAGAGTTCTTGGTGTTCTCTGAGCTTGGTTGTTTGCTTGCAGACATTTTATTACCAAACTAAGTAACATCACCAGTGCAATGCATATCTCAGACATGCATGTCATGGTCTTCCACAAAACTGCATAATGATGTAAATATTACATTAATATGATAAAGCCACCCAAATTGTTGAGACATATGTTTAATAAATTATCATTATTATGGTTGATAGATGTTTAGACTGGATTTGACATTTGTATCCCAGTATTAGTATTAGGTTCTGTTCACAACAAGGTGAAATCACAGCTCCCAGTTCTTTAGTTGTTTTTTGTCTTCATATGCATTGAAGTCTTCCCAAGAATCTAGGATATCATAATGTATCAACATAGTATATGCACAAATCCAAGCAGGGTTGCCTTTTGCAGTTACTCTTTGTTGCATGGCCAGTTAGATATCCGGACTGGATTTGGCATTTTTATCCATCTAGCTAGTCCTTCCCAAGGACCAGAGATAGAGAAGTGTGGATGTTTGATTATGATAAAGGTATCTTAGCAGGATACCCTTCTGCAGTTGACTAGTAGTAATTTTATCAATGCCAATGGTGTTCAAGTGGTGCTCCAGTTGTTTTGGGATTGTACTCAAGGCACCTATTACTATTGGTACTACCTTTGCTTTCTTTGCCACAGTTGCTCTATTTCTATTTGCAGGTCTTGTATTTTGTGATTTTCTTCAGTTCTTTCTCTTCTCTTCTGCTGTCTCCAGGTACTGCAACATCCATTATCCAGACTTTTTTGTCTTTCTTATTGACAATTGTTAAGTCTGGGGTGATTTGTGGCAGGCCCTTGTCTGTTTGACTTCTAAAGTCCCAGAGCATTTTAGCTTCTTCATTTTCTGTTATTCTATTATTTTCTATTTTGCACTTCCATGAGTTCTTCCTTGTAGGCAAATGGTTTTTCTTCCAGTGCACCATTGTTGCTTCATTATCATTCTGTTGTTTATATTCAGTCTGTGAGATCTTTTTGTAGCAGCAAGTGGTCCACTGTTTGTTCAGCTTCTTTGCAGAGGTGGAATTTGCTAGCTATTGTTATCGTCTTAATTCTGACTTTGTATGAATTTGTTCTTCTTACTATCATTATTAAGCTTGCTACCTGTTCTCATAACATAGCTTAAGGAGGCAACAAGATAACTAGACTGACTCTAGAGCAGAGGTCCCCAACCTATGGGCTGCGGCTCACTACTGGACCACAGCCTCTTGGCTGCTGGGCCACATGAGTAGCTGGACAGTGCACACACATGTGCATGTGCTCACCCCCCTTCATGCCACCTTTGCCGCAAGTGTTGTGTGGGCAGCAGCAGCACCGCTAGTATTGCGTGGACAGCAGCAGCGCCGCAAGCGGTAGGTGGGTTGTGGCATGACCCTCGCACAGGAGCGGCATCGCTACAAGCCACAGCGCAAGCCTCATGCGGGGTGGAACCCCAAGCATTGTGCTGGGGCCGGCATCACTGGAGGCCTCAACGTGAGCCTTGTGCCAGGGGCAGGCCATGGTGTGAGCCTCGCGTGGGGGTGGTGGCCTGAGCATCGCACCGGGGGCGGTATTGCTGCAGGCTGCGATGCAATCCTCACTGTAGTGAGGATCATCATGAGCCTGGAAGAGGCGCTGCCATTGCTGAGAGCCTCACATGCATGCTCACAGCCCCATTTGCCTGGTGCGCATGCTCGTAGCCTGTACATGCGCAGCACATGTGGCCACATTCACATTTGCACATGCGCGGGTAAGGTACCTCCTCCTCCCCCTCCCACTGGGCCGCCAAAACAAAAAGGTTGGAGACCCGTGTTCTAGAGATTGAACGCAGTGTTCAGGATTACAGAAATCTGATCTCAAAATGGGTACTATAGGAGCCAATATGGATTGAAAATGCCATGCTTTGAGGTTGCACCATTTCTGGCTTACTCAGAATAGAGAATTCAGGGAGTGGGGTGTTCATTCAAAGTGATCATTGGGTGTAGGCAGCATTTCAATCTCACAATATTTTGTCTACATGTTTTGGAACTTTGCAGTGCTTCAGGTTTGATTCCAAAACAATATTTTCATAGCTTTGTGCACACACATACACACAAACATACACACACATATACATAGTCATGCAACCCAGTAGCTAAAACAGCTGGCCACGATTCTGTTACTGAATTTATTATGATGATTTATAAATATAGTAGTAACTGTGAGAGGGACCTCGGAGTCCTAGTAGACAATCACTTAAATATGAGCCAGCAGTGTGCTGCAGCTGCCAAAAAGGCCAACACAGTGCTAGGCTGCATTAACAGAGGGATAGAATCAAGATCACGTGAAGTATTAATACCACTCTTCAATGCCTTGGTAAGGCCACACTTGGAATACTGCATCCAGTTTTGGTCACCACGATGTAAAAAAGATGTTGAGACTCTAGAAAGAGTACAGAGAAGAGCAACAAAGATGATTAGGGGACTGGAGGCTAAAACATATAAGGAACGGTTGCTAGAATTGGGTATGTCTAGTTTAACGAAGAGAAGGACAAGGGGGGACATGATAGCAGTATTCCAATATCTCAGGGGCTGCCATAAAGAAGAGGGAATTAAGCTATTTTCCAAAGCACCTGAAGGCAGGACAAGAAGCAACGGGTGGAAACTAATCAAGGAGAGAAGCAACCTAGAACTAAGGAGAAAGTTCCTGACAGTGAGAACAATTAATCAGTGGAACAGCTTGCCTCCAGAAGCAGTAAATGCTCCAACACTGGAAGTTTTTAAGAAGAGACTGGACAGCCATTTGTCCGAAATGGTGCAGGGTTTCCTGCCCGAGCAGGGGGTTGGACTAGATGACCTCCAAGGTCCCTTCCAACTTTACTACTATTATTATTATTATTATTTTATTACAGGAAATGTTTTCAAATAAAAACATTTAAGCACTCGGGCAACGGAAGTAAATTTCAAAATATAACACAGCACATATTCATTTCATTTCTTTTTTTTATTATTAGAATTAAATCTAGAATTACTTACTGTACAATACATAAGGCAGCAGACTGACGTGGAAGATCTCTCATCTGAAGCAAGCAAAGAATGAAGAAAGAGGAAGTGTGAATAAACAGGAAAGCAATATGTGCTATCGGAAGGGAGAGCAGTTTGAGGTTTTGCTAACAATAGACAAAGTAACTACGAGTTAACCCAATTCTTTTCAGAAAAGGTGGAGTTTGAAGGGGATTTGATGGGCTGAGAAAAGAACCATCATGCAATGAGTTTCAGAAAACAGTTTAAAAAATACTAGGCATGAAAGGGCAAAGGGTGAAGGGAAAATTTTAGATGGGCAAAGTCTAACCCTTGCAAGAAGGAATCAAAAGATCAATGTTATTACACCGGGAAGGAGAACTGCTTTTTGGAGTAAGGTTAGTGGTAGGTCTTTCCTCTTTCTCAGGAACTATGAGTCATGTGCAAACCTACATATATATAATTCTCATCAAGCAAACCCAGGTCATATTCAACAGCTGAACAAGTAAAAGTTGTTGTGTTGACTCTGTGATCAATAGCTCCAGGATGTTGGGCTGGGCAACCCTCCCTTCTACGAGTCAGTCATATATCTTTGTTCACTATTGTGAGATTACTCATAGGTTATTTGGGTTTCCAGATAATTCTTACTCCAAAGGTCAGAACTTTTTTTTTCTCCTTTTATTTCAGCTTTTGAAAACAATGTTGAGTGTTTTTAATAAAAATATTATTTGAAATTAAGTAACTGTTATTGTTTGATTAGTCCTAGATAGATGAAAAACTATGTTTTCACACATAAATTTTTATCACATCCAGTATCTGTTGTGGTCATGATACTTGCAGCACTGAAGTGAACCATACATTCAGCTCTCCTACATTAATCTAGGTTATTCTTGCTTTCAGTTAGGGATGGACATCCCTTGTCAAAAAAAGATTCAATAACAGGAATGCAGTGACAGCAGTTTTATGGATGAATGAAAATAACTAAATATTGTTTCTACCCATCTGATCCAGTTTGGTAGGATGGCTATGCTTTGCATCCCCTTGCCTAAGAAATGCCACTTGATGGGACCAGGAGGCACACCTTTTCTGTTCTAATGACTGCTGTATAGAATATTCTCTATCTGGAGATTAGGAGAATTAGGCTGAGACCTTGCTGGTCCTTGCACTAAAGACCTGGTTTGGTGCCCCGAATGTGTGAAGAGGCTAATCACTTGGCTGTTTTAGTGATTTTCGATTGTGACAGTTCCTTGACTGTATTTTAATCTTTGCATTTGTTATAATTGTTTTTAATCCTCATTTTGTTAATTGCTCACCACCCAGAGTCACTTTACGATCTGCTCTAGCATCTTTCTAGATATCGATGTCAGATGGGCTTGTACTTTGCTGGATCTTCTTTTTCCTGATTTGGAGTTATAGATATCTGTTAGATAAATAAATAGTAAGTAGACACCAGAGTTCATCATCAGTTTAAATTTAAAAATCCCATTTTAGTCAATAAAATATCTCACACATGTAGCATGGATTTGCTCTTGTAATGTCTGAAAATCGGGGTAAAGATTGTGGTTCCCATTCTGCATGTGGTGAACAATCGCTGGCAGACTTTTTGCTCTGTGGAACATCTCAGCATTAATGCTCAGAAATTCTTCACTTCGTCTAGCAGTTTAAGTGCTGGACATTTTTACCTTTTTTCATATCTATAAGCATTGACATGTAGATCCTGTCAAGAAATCATTGTGCAATCAAAGACATTAGGACCTATAATTATTTAGGGAATAATTATTTAGAAATTTTTCCTTCAGTGCCTGCTGAAGAGTGAAGCAGTTAAAGAGTGTGGAATATTGTGTATATGGCTCTCCAAATTCCATCTTTTATGGGAACAGGAAATTATTGAATTTTAGAAAGAATCTGAAAGTTAGTATTTCTTAATGAGATCCTTTGTGCTCAAATGTTAGGGATACCATGATGGTTGAGTATAGGAGATGAACTTGAGCTGAACGATTGGCTTAGGAAAAAGAATTACTTCTGAAAACTAAAATCATAGCACTGTTAAGATTGTCACAAGTATGAATATGAGGTGCAAACTGAAGTTCTATATACACATTCTTAGCATTGTTCCATTTAGCCATGTGTCTGAGATTTTACTTGACACATCATACTTTGGTGGCCTTGGTGTTAGGAATATGCTACAGGTATTAAAATACAGATAGTCCTTGTTCAGCAATCATTTGTTGAGTGACTAAAGTTACAACAGCACTGAAAAAAAAGTGACTTACAACTGGTCCTCACGCTTATCATCATCACAGTCACATGATTGAGATTTGGGTGCTTGGCAATCATCACACATTTATGAGAGTCACATCATCCATGATCGTATTATCACCATTTGTGACCTCCCTAGTCAGCTTCCAACAAGCAAATTGTGGTCTCGTGAGGTCTCGCTTAACTATCATGAGTGATGCACTTAATTACAGCCACCAGGATGCTAGAATTGCCATCAGTTGTGCAGACACATGATGCTTTGTTTAACAACCACTTAATTTAGTGGCAGAGTTTCTGGTCCCACTTAGAATCATTAACCAACAATTGCCTGTATATAAAAATAGCACTATAATATTGGACTTTCTTCACAGAGAAAGAAGAAACACATAGCTAAGTGAAGATTTAGATTGAATGCATGTGTCTTTTAGTTACTTTTAACTGCTGTTGACTACCTGGACATGCAGTTTTCTTGGCCAGATTTTTGGAAGTGGTTTGCTCTTGCCTTCTTCCTAAGGCTGAGTAACAGTGATTGGTCTAAGATCACTCAGTTAGAAATTATGAGGTCCCAGTTTCTAGCCTGGTGCTTTAACCACTACAATAAACTGTGTCTCTTCAAAATGTACCATATGTTTCCATATAAGAAGCACCCTTATATAAGACGCTCTGGCATGCGAGTTCCAAGTTTACAGCAAACAAAGTCAGCGCTGGGAGCAACCACCTCCCAGCATTCTAAATAGATGCCTCCCGCCCCCCCCCACCTAACCAGCATCCAGCACAATGAGCATGCATAGTCAGTTCACAGCAGCCTTCCGACCCTGGTAAACAAACCGACATGATGACTGGCATGACAGCAAGGCAAGGGAAGCAAAGGCAGGTTTTAAACTCCCCGCCGTTTCTCTGCGCCAATCAGCTATTCAGCAGAGTGCCGAACAGCTGAGCTGGCGAATCCGGAAGTTTGGCTGCCGCTATTATCGAGCAGGATGGCCTTGCAGCTACGTTCCACAGGGTCCCCAGCTAGCATACAGGTACAAGGGAGGGAAAGGGCTGTCACTGCCATCCATGCTGCTGGTCCCATCCGCTGCCTCCAGACGCAATCTGATGATCTTGCCCCCTCCCGTTAGTGGCAAGCCAACAGGGGCTTGACACCTGCACCAGGCGGCATGGCAGCGGCATGTAAAGGACCCACACAGGCATGCCCTGGGCTGCATAAGTTACCATTATTTTTTCTTGTATAAGATGCTGCACTTGTATAAGACGCAGCTGATTTTTGAACAGGGTGTTTGCAGGAAATAATAGCATCTTATACACAGAAAAATATGGTATCTACCTAAGTAGGAAATGGCTACTGAATTTGAACACTTAGAAGTATGTTTAAGTTTGATGCTAAAATACTTTTTCTATACAGTTTGTGAAAGGGGTTAGAGATTCCCCCTTATCACGTAACCTTAATATTAATATAATTTTTCTGTATAGATAAAAATCCTGCTGCATTTATGGGGAATTTGCTACTTCTTTCCATGGTAGAGAACATCTAAATGAGTTCATTTCTTTGGATAAATTACCTCAGCTTAAGTATCTTCATGCACAGCTGGTGCTGGGAAATGAATTCCATATGCAGGGAGTATGGTGTTAGCTTTTGTTACAAACTTCTGAATATTGTATCCTTGATGGAGGATAATTGGCCTTTTCCCAGTATATTCTCTATGCATGTTATCAGCTCACACTTCACATGTATGTAATTATCTTTCTGAAAATAGAAGGTCCTCCAGTGAGTGATATTTTATACCCTTGGGTTTTACTTTAGAATTAATTTTTATAAATGTTTGGTAGTCATCAATTTGCAATGAGACAGAAACAGCAAAATTGTTGTTTGAAGTGTAAGAGATAGAAAACTTCACAGATAAATCTTCCCTGTTGACAAACATCAATCTATAAAGGTGTTTTTTCCATTATTAATTAAAATACACTTCTGAATTTTCTTTTTCTTGTTTTTACTTTTTGACAGAAGTTCTTTAATGTAATTGCTAATACAATTCTAATTGCACTGTGTTAGTAATATTTTAAGGGAAAATAGACGTTAAAAACATGAACAGTGATACTTAAAAATCTGGAATTAAAATACAATTTCAAAGTAGTTGTTTCTTTGTTCTTTTTTAATATAGTATAGTCTCTAATTATACTAAAAATGTGAATCCTGGGTATATTCATGTTGAGAGAAGTAGTCGAACACTGGGATAAATAAAAACAACTGTTTAATAAACTAGCAACTGTTTGATAAACTTAGCTTTTGTCGGCTAACTGCCAACGTCATCAGAGTGGAATGCCAGAGGTTTGAAAGCCTGCTCATAAGATTGGCAGTTTATGTGCTCTGCTCATAGAATGCATCACTGGTCTGCCCGCCCTAGCTGATCATATTACTTCTAATAGTCTTGCATCCATCTGTATATTTGTATATTTGTAAGTTCAGGGATCACCACCTCTCTTATTGCAGCTCTGAAACAGCAAAGAAATATGACTGGCAAAAGGGGAGAAATCCCCAGCACGATTCATACAGGAGTCAATGGTGGGAAGCGGAGTGCCACACTCACAACAAAGGATGGCCACAAGACAGGATGCACTGGGGGATCATCCTATAGTAAAGTATACCCAGATACCCCCAAAACAGGCAAAGAGAGCTGCAATAAGAGAGGCGGTGATCCCTGAACTTACAAATATACAGATGGATGCAAGACTATTAGAAGTAATATGATCAGCTAGGGTGGGCAGACCAGTCATGCATTCTATGAGCAGAGCACATAAACTGCCAGTCTTATGAGCAGGCTTTCAAACCTCCGGCATTCCACTCTGATGACATTGGCAGTTAGCCGACGAAAGCTAAGTTTATCAAACAGTT